AAGCCGTTTACTCATATGCGAAATATGCACTCGACATGAACTTACCTGATTAGGATCACGAGGAGGAATAATTCCTTCTTTCCTCTCTTTAATAGTCTTACTTCTAGCTTTCTCCTTTCCAAGCTTTTCACTCTCTCGTTCTCTTAATGTCTCAGGAGATAAGTACTTTAGAACAACTAGAATACGTTCATTAAGAATAATCTGCTCACTTAAAGCCTTCTTAGCACTATCTACCTCTTTAAAAAGAACAAAAGCTCGACCGGCTGGTATTCCTGTCTCCTTATTACTTACTAGAGTTACTTGTTCAACTTCACCAAAGACAGTAAAGGCCTTAGTAATCTCAGGAACAGTTTCTCTGGGTGATAAATTAGTAATGAATAAAGTACGATCTTCTTCTCCAACTGGACCTTTTAGACCTTTTTTAGCCTCGTAAGCTGCTCTAATCATTCGGCCTCTTTCATTTTCATCTTCAGTCTCTGTTTGACGAGCAGCAAAGACTTCTTTATCTTCTAAATGAGCAACTGAAATTTGTCGGCCACCAAACTCTTTGTTATTATGAGTCTTGATAAACCGTTTGACGTCATTAGCATTAGAACATTGAATAAATACTGCACCGGTTAAGACACCATCTTTAGCATGTCTTTCTAATGAAAGAGCGCCGGGAAAGAAGTTCAAAATTTCAGAATCGGAGACATTAAAAGGGAGATTTCTAACTATGAGACGAAGAGCACGTAGTTGTGAAGCTCTTCTTCTGCTTAAACCGATATTTGCCATAAAATTTTACGGGTCATAGCAAATACATAACCAAAGTTTGATTTAGATAAGATTGGATTGGCAAAAGAAGTTTTATTGAGTTAAGTGGGTATTGGGTTGAGTTGGTGTGGAGTTAGATTGGGTTTGAGTTGGGTTGGGTTAGTATTTGGTTAGTATTATATCAAATTCTAACTCAATAGTAACTGGTATTATTAAAATTTAAGTATGACGTCATAATGTTGTCTACTTTCAATAAATGACTGATTATGTTGTATTGAGTTGGTATTACGTTAGTATAATATAACAATATTATAACATAATGTAACTATATCATAACACATCATATTATAACTATATCATATCTAAATCATAACATAACATAACTAACAACATAACCATCTCATAACACAACATAACCATCTCATAACATATTATAACCATATCATATCATAACATAACAAAATCATATCATATCATAACATAACACAACTATATCATATCTAATAACATATCTAAAGAAAACAAAACAAAGTACCAACACATTCTTGTGGTGTTTATTCTAAAGTTAAAAGAACTATCCTAGGCCGGTTGCTTACTCGAACTGGATTGACAAATGGATAGAATAGTACTAACCAACGGCTGGTTTAGCCAGCATTGGCTTTTTTACCTTCTTTATCTTTAGCCGCTTGAATGCTTCTGGCTAGTCCGGCATCAATGACTGCCATACTCCTGTTGTTATCCTCGAGAATTTGAACCATTTGCGTACCTGACTTGTTTACTTGCTCCTTAATCTTAACCATTCCGGCTGAACGAGTCTTCTTCAGGTTGGCAATGGCCTTCTTTTCAGCCTCTTCACTCCTGTTCTCCCAGAAACGGAAACTAAACCCAGTACGACCGGCTCTTACAATGTCCTCATGGAAGACTTCTTGCGCACATAAATCATAAAGCTCGTTTTGCATGATAGTTGGTGATAAATACGTATCTGGACCCAACTGCATAATAAATGGAAACTCTCCTAACTGAATGGACAACATAGCTATATAATTAGCCTTAAGCTCTTCTAAAACCCAAGGCCGACATTCAACTCCCAGTAGTAAATCAGCCGCACATAGTAAGTAAGCCGTAGCCTTTTCAAAGATTTGAGCTGACTTCTCAGTAATCGGTAAGAGCTTAGTCAGTTGGTCAGCTACTATGGCAGGAGTAGGTGTAGCTTGATTTTCAGCCTGCTTATACCGGACACTAATCTGATGCGAACCATTCAACCACTCGCCTACCACCGAAGTTGAGAAGTAAATTCCCACCGGCTTAAAGAAGACTCGATAGAAGAATTCGTTCTTTGTCCCAAATATTCCTCCTCTAGCTATAGTAGTATCACTCATTAAGGAAGTATAGTACTCAAAGATAGTTACACCTACACCGTATAGTGCATCTTGTAATAAAGCTCCTAAATCTCTTAAAACAGATACGTCAGAATTAGCTATCACGACTTCTCCTAAGAACTTCAGTTGTTTTTGTCTTGTCTCTTCTATTTCCTTAGCTAAGGCCTGCTTCTTCTTTAAGTCCTTTTCCAGAATGCATTGCTTCTTGGCATTACGTTCCCAGAAGAGAGTATCAAAGAGTACGCTATACCGCTTAAGTACTTGAAGCATAGTACGTGTACTTTCACCAATAACTCGAAGGTTCATTATTGGACCGGGTACCCATATCAGTAAACAACTAGTTAAGACTAAAACTCTTCTAATTCCTAGACCTACCTTACCCATTTCACACGTCTCGGCTTCAGCAATCATTTTATGCAGCATAGTTTGTAACTCCTCATCCTTATCTTGTACTAACCAGTCAAAAAGTTTCCTATCAGCGGCTTCAGAACAAATAAACTTATCATTAACTAGAAGACCAGCTGTAGTAAGTAGTGTTTTAGGATCATTACTAGAGATAAGAATGTATCTAAAGATACTCCCTTTAAAGAATCCTTCTAAAAGAGCGGCTGGTAAGACTTTGCCTGGATTTTGTTGGACATAAGTTGTATAAGCAGCTAGACCGTCTTTAAGGACTGTATTGAGCCACTTAACGTTCTCTTGGGCCTTTTTCTTATCGGCTGGTGTACTTTTACGAGATAAGAAAGTATCATTTTTGTTAAATGAATGGGCCCAAAGTAGTAACTTACGATAGTTAGTTCTTTTAAGTAAAGACTTGTTCTCTTTAGGCTTTTCAATCTCTGCAATAGCCTTCTCTGTTTTTGATTGAGTTGAACGGCCAAAGTAAACTAAAATGCCAATTAAGCTGGCTAAAAGAATAACGATAACTAACAACTTAATGAGCAAGACTGTCCCTTGCTTTTTCTTCTTACGTTGATTGTCTTCCATCTTCTCCTAAAAAAAGAAATGCCCATTTAGTATGAGATATCTCGTTGGTTAGTTGATTAACGGTTATTTAGTGGTATTTAGTGATGATTGGATGGGTATTGGCTGGGTAGATAAGGAGATGATTGGTGATAGTTGATTGAGTTATCCTAAATGGAGTTAAGTGGAGTTATATTATATTATGTGAAGTTTGATTGGGTTGAATTGAGTTGAGTTAAGTTAGTATTTAGTTGGTGTAAAGCAGCACTAAATACTAACTAAGTGCTAACTTGATGCAATAATAGGTCGAGTATCTAAATAAAGCAGTAAATTAGCTTAAGACTAACTTAATACTATATTAGCTTAACTTAACATAATTTAGTAGTATACTAACATAACATAACTTAGTACTATATTAGCTTAATACCATGCTAACTTAACAGAATACCAACACATAACTTAACTCAACACATAACTTAACACATAACTTAACACATAACTTAACTTAATGGAATATAAGAGCAAGTTGTTAACTAAGTTGCGTATTTATTGATCGCCGGTCTGGATGACGGTGGCTATGTCTTGGGCTACTTCGGCTAGTCTTTGCTTAACGACGGATTCGCCGGCGGCGGGATCTTCAAACTTCATGCGAGTTAGGCGGTGGAGGACATCGCGTGTGTCGTTGCGTAGGACTTCCCAGGAGGGAACTGCTTTGGCTTCCAGAACTTCGCGGCACTTGTTGTAGTAAAGCACAATGTTCTTGGCCATAGCTACGGTTTTGTAGAAGGGACAGTAGCGGTCGTAAGTAGATACACCGTTTTGTTGTAGGAAGTCTTCTCTGATTAGACGGGCTGCTTCTAAATCAAGTCGGTCTATTTCACCTAAAGAACCTTTACCAACCAGTTGCACAATTTCCGAAAGACTATCTTCTCTTTGTAAAAGCTCTCTAATCGTGCTCATGGCTTGAGTATAGGCGGGATCCAGTTGGTGGTAGAAAGGCTCGAGTGCATCTAAGTACTTAGAATAAGAAAGGTTCCAATTTACACTAGGGAAGTGCTTTCTTTGGGCTAGTTTCTTATCTAGACCCCAGAAAACTTGAACAATACCTAGGGTAGCAGCCGTAACTGGATCGGAAAAGTCTCCTCCTGGGGGTGATACGGCTCCAACGACAGTTACACTGCCTTCTTTTCCGCTATAACACTGGGCAAATCCGGCTCTTTCATAGAAGAAAGCTAATCGGGCTCCTAAATAGGCGGGATACCCTGAATCAGCTGGCATTTCGGCTAAACGCCCGGAGATCTCTCTAAGGGCTTCGGCCCAACGTGAAGTTGAATCGGCCATCATAGCTACGTTGTAGCCTTGGTCCCGGAAATACTCAGCAATAGTTATGCCCGTGTAGATAGAGGCTTCTCGGGCAGCGACTGGCATATTAGAAGTATTGGCTACCAGAACTGTACGTTTCATAATGGACTCTTCCTTATCTCCAATTGTTACTTTTAGAGTAGGAAACTCTTCTAGGACTTCACTCATTTCATTACCTCTCTCACCACAACCTACATAGACAATTACATCTGAGTTAGAGTACTTAGAAAGAGATTGGGAGATCACGGTCTTCCCACAACCAAAAGCCCCTGGAATAGCCGTTGTCCCGCCTTGAACACAAGGAAACATGGCATCAAGCATGCGCTGCCCAGTAAAGAGAGGGTTTTGCGAGGCGAGCTTTTGTCGGACAGGTCGTGGTGTACGAACGGGCCAGATTTGGTACATTCTTTCCTCCCATTCAGATCCTGATTCTTCTTGGAGAGATACCATGACTGTATCTACGGTATACTGTCCAGCTGGTTTAATTTGAAGTACTTTGCCTTTATGACCAGGAGTGATCATTAGTCTGAGCAGGACTAAGGAGTTTTCCTGCACAGTCCCATAGACTTCACCTGGGCCTAGTTCATCACCTACTTGTACGGTTGGAGTGAACTCCCAGAGCTTAGTTCTATCTAAGGGGGGAAAAGCTGCTCCAGAAGGAATGTACAAACTTTGGGTTGCTTTGTAGATCTCTCTAAGTGGACGTTGAATACCATCAAAGATGTTATCTAGTAGTCCTGGGCCTAATTCAACACAAAGTGGATGTCCTAAACGCGTAACTGGATCGCCTACTCCTAGTCCAGATGTTTCTTCATAGACTTGAATAGTTACTTTATCTTGGTCTATTCTGATAACTTCACCCATTAGGCCTTGATGACCTACTTTAGCTAGCTCATGCATAGCACAACCTAACATATTAGAGGCAATTACAACGGGACCAGAAACAGTATGTATTTCTCCAGTCATATTCTCTTTATCGCGGCTAAGCGAAAGGAAGCCTGTTCTCATTAATACAAAAAAAGAGTCTGCATTAGTATCAGATCGGGGGTTGTTTAGTTGAGTTTAGTCGCGTTTAGTAGGTGTTATTGGATGGTAAGTTGGTTTAGTGTTTGGTTGGTTTTGATTTGTTGCGAGTTAAGCCGTCTTGTGTAATATAGTATAATGTAAGTGTAGTGTAGTATAAATGTGGTTTATTAGAGTGTAGTTGTGGTTGTGGTTTAGTATAGTATGGTGTTGGTGTAGTGTAATGTAGTGTTGGTTTGGTGTAGATGTGGTTTAGTGTAGTATAATGTAGTTGTGGTTTAGTATAGTATGGTGTAGGTTTAGTAGAAGTGTAGTGTAGTTGTGGTGTAGGCTTATTATAGTATAGTATGGTGTAGATTTAGTATAAGTGTAGGTCTAATGTAGTTGTGATTTAGTAGAGATGTGGTGTAGTTGTGGTTTAGTATAGTATGGTGTAGTATGGTGTAGGTCTAATTGGTCCTTAGATACATTGACATAAATTGACATGTTAAGTTAGTAATAAGTTGACATTGATTTATTTAATTGCTACTTAGATAAGCTGTTGGCTGATAAGTATTAAGTTAGGAAAGCTGCTGTTTATAGTAGTAAGTTGAATGCAGTATATCAACTTACTATTAACTGAATACTAACTTAATACTAACTCAACTGAATACTAATCGGTGCGAAGGGTGTACTGAACTGTATCATCCTGGCGGTAAAGAAGGTCTATTTCTAATCCAAGCGAACGTGCAGTGATGGAAAGAGAACCGGTATAAAGAAGGGCCCGAGTTTGTAAGGGACGAATAGTAAAGAGAATAAAGGCATTGTACATATCTTTATAAGGAAGATCAGTTACTGATCTGTTGATAAGAATTATAGTTGTGGCTGGTAGTGAAAGTCTTTCTGGAGATAAATTCCAGCCATCAACAAGCAAAAGGTCATGTGGAGTTTCTATAGCTTTAGTTAAGGCAGTTGGATCTTCAAGTAGGGAATAGACGGGAGTACTGGTTGAATACTCACGAGCCAATCGGAATAAAGAAAGTATGACTGGTTTTTGGAAGTATTGCAAGATTTCTGGAATAAAGAAGTCAATTGAAGCCCCTAAGAGTTCATTGATCAAAATAGTTTGTTTGAGCAGAGGTTGAACTGAAGCTTCCGTTGAGAGGGACTTAAGTAGATACTCCATGAATAAAAAATGACGAAAAGCTCGACTGTTGAAGTAGTTCTTAGACTTGGAGATAAGACTGAAGTGTTTAAAGAAGCATTGGCATCTGCTACTATTAAAGGGGCCACTTTAGCCGTAAAAGAAGAGAGTCTTGTGATTAGTATAGATCAGCCCAATAGTAACGAATTGCTTAAAAGTATGTACATTCTTACGACTTACTCTACTTTCATTCTGCGAACACTTAAAGAGTTAGATGGATTAGATTGAGTTTGGTTTGGGTTGTGTTGAGTTTGGATTAGGTTGCGATTGATTTGGTTGCGATTGATTTGGTTGTGTTTGGTTTATTGATTATGTGGGTGTGTTTAGATTAAGTTGGTTTGGGTGGAGGTTGTGGTTAGGTTGGAATTGGAATTGGATAAATAAGGATAATAGGTAGATTGGGACTTTCGGATCTTAAATAAAAAGAGAAACACAAGTGAGTCTGAATTTGAATTATGTTGGGGTTTATTGCGATTTTATTGAATTAGATATGAAAATAAGTTAGGAGTTGAGATGAATTAGATAGTAACCGAAAAGGAATAGAAGGGAGTTAAGAAGAAGTAGGTGGATCATCTGAGTTAAGAAGAGTTAGATACTGCTGAATACCTTGGTGAATATTGAGGGCACCAAGGAGAGGGGCGAATTTACGAGCGGTACTGCCATTACGACAGAAGATAACCAGTTGTTTGTTCTTAGCTTGTTGTCGGAGAAAGGTAGTGGCTTTAGCTGGATTATCAATCAGTTGGCCTAAAGGGTATGAACTAGCCTGGGGATGGGAGAACAGTTGGTATTCTTGTGGTGTCCGAATATCAACTAAATAATAAGCTGGGAGTTCGGCTAGTACTTCACCCCAAGTAATTGTATGTTTAAGATTCGGTTGAGTATTAAGAATTGGTTTAGATGGGGTTAGTATTGGCCCAGACTCTTCCATTCCCGGGATTGGGCAGCTAAGTCCTACTTGGTCTGGATCGTAGTACAAATCAGATTGATCGTCTATCCAGTCCCTTATTTCACGTAAAGTCAAACTATCTTTCTTCTGACAAATAACACAAGGCGGTTTAGACCCAAAATTCACCCGCAACCAGTCATTCCGCGCCCCGTCGACATGCAGCATATAAGACTGTTTCTCACGGCCTAAAATCACTTTAGCCACCTCTAAACTCATTGCACTACCTACAATACCACACATAGGCCCAACCATGCCCGCACTCGCACACGTATCTTGCCGCCTACTACTTAGTTTCGGATACACACAGCGATAGCACATACTTTTAAACAAGTACACTGAACCTTCCCAGCGCAAAGAAGACCCACAGATAAAAGGTATGCCTCGAGCCGCACAATAATCACTAAGCAAATACCGGACCATCCTACTATCGGCACAATCGACCACTAAATCATACCCACCCCCAATCTGCCAAACATTCGCCCGCGTAATAAACCCATGCTCAATCACTCGACACCGTTTATTACATCCTAAAATCCGTTCCCGAGCTACTTCCGTCTTACTACGCCCAATACTATCCATACCAAACAAGATCTGTCTATTCAAATTACTTATCTCCACCTTATCATCATCAGCTACACCTAAACATCCCACACCCATCGCGGCTAAATATAATAAGACTGGAGATCCCAATCCTCCACAACCCACAACCAAGACCCGACTCTTCTCCAGTCTTTCCTGACCCATCTGCCCAATTCCAGCCACAATCATTTGTCGCTCATACTGAGCCAATCGACTAACTAGCTCTAACGGACCATCTAAACTACTCATCTGCAAAAAAGACGCGAAAATCAACCTTTATTCAACCTTCAATCTCTTCTATCAGCCTTTTTAACTCCTCCACCTCTTTACAACTCCAACCTTCTAAGGCCCGTTCAATATCTTCCTCTTCTTTCTTGGCCGAAACCACCAATAGAGACCTTTTCTCCTCTAAACCCATCCTTTTTTTACAAACAAAGATGTCTGAAGAGCGCAAATCTGAATTTTGGGCTACTCAGCCAGTAGGAAAGGCTTCTGCCCCTCTAGCTAAGGACCAAGAAACTCCAAATACCGCCCCAAAACTTCCCATGGAATTATCCGATGAAATTTCACTTAAAACAGTTGAAATAGATAAGGAAATGGATAAACTTCATGAATTACTAACCAATCATTATGTGGAGGACAGTAGAGCAATGTTTCGTTTAGAGTATAGTCGGGCCTTTTTAAAGTGGCAGTTACTATCTCCGGATTCTTTTCCCGATTGGAATGTCGGGTTGTACCAAGGCGAGCACTTAATTGGGTTCATTTCGGCCTGTAAACTCCAAATCCAGATAGGCGGTGATAAGCCTCCTACAGCCGTGGTTAACTTCTTGTGTTTAGACCGGTCCTTTAGGAAGAAGAGACTAGCACCAGTGCTAATCAAGGAAATAACCAAGCGAGTCAACCAGAAAGGGATTTACCGAGCCCTCTTTACCTCTGGTGAAGAGTTGCCTTTCTTCTGTACGCGTGCCCCTTACTACCACCGTATAGTCCAAGCAGATCAATTGGTGGCCCAAGGGTTCTGTTCCCCACTTGACATTAAGCCGGACACAGCGAGTACGCCTACTCAATCAAGATTCCGCCAAGCCAGAGTAGAAGATATGCCAGCTATTCACCAGATGTACCAGGCCAAGTACGGCCAGAAGCACTTACATGCTTGTTTAACTGCCGACCAATTGGCCTACTACGTTCAGCCCCGGCCTAATCTAGTAGATACACTTATTTCACTGGATGGTCAAGAGTTTATCTCCATTTATTTCATTGATACTAAAGTACTAAGTGATAACTCGCTTATCAACACAGCGTACATCTACTACTACTCCATTAACGACCGCCGGCAAGCTTTCGATGCCCTTGTTGCCTACTTAAAAGCCAATACGTCCTGCAGTGTCTTAAATGCCTTAGCCGTTGAAGAGAACACACCCGAACAGCTCGAACAAGAAGAGTTCTTATGTGGTGATGGCGTACTTAACTACTATCTCTTTAATTGGGATACGCCTCTAATTAGTGCGGACAAAAATGGATTTATTCCCTTCTAATGAATAACGAAGCCAAACAAGCCATTCATTCTCTCAAGCAGTTAACCGAATCTTTAGCCGGCGTACTTAAAGGCCTAGCCCAACACGAAGTACCAGATAAGGAGATGCAACGGTTTTTAAGCAGTGCCGATGAGCTTAGGCAGTACTTAGAAGCCGTTCCAGCCGACAAAGCACCACCCGGAAGCGATTTAGGCATAGGAGTTTTCTCCATCACCGAACATCTACCCACGGACTCTCCATCCCACCCCAACCACACAACAACTAAATAGTAATAGGTTAAGTTAAGATTTGATTTGATTTGTATTTGTATTTATCTAGTGTATTTATATAGTGTCTTTCAGTTATATTAAGTTGAGTTAGTATTTGGGTTGTATTGAGTTATGGTTTGGATTATATTAAGTTGAGTCAGTATTAAGTTAGCATTAAGTTAGTATTAAGTTAGTATTTATCTTATTGTATGTGGTTATGTGTATTCAGATTTCAATTCATTACTAGCTCAACTACGACAAATTAGTACAAATAGAGTTATATTGAGTTAGTAATAGCTTGAATTAGTAATTTAGTATAATGAATTGATTAGTAATTTCAATAAATACACAAGTCAGATAAGTAGATAGCACTGAATATAAATTTAGTTCAATCTAAAGAACAGCTTATCTAAAGACTATTATCTAAAGAATAGCTTATCTAAAAAGTATTATCTTATCTAAAGAGTATCTCTCTTAACTCAATACTAAACCAACTCAATAATTTATTCGATATTGAAGGCTCCACTTATCTACTAACCCAATCATACATTTAGAGTCTCCTCCTATGTATACTATTGGGTTCAGTTAAAGGTCTAAGCGGATTCTAATACTTCTTTGGTTCCAATTATACTGAATAGGATACTACCGGCCAGAATAGCTACTGAAATCCCCGTGAACAAAGGAGTCTTCTTTGGGAACATTAAGTAGGCAATACTAGGCAGAGCAAACATAATGTAGCAAGATGCAGTTGTAGATATCAAAGACATAACAAACGAATATTGCACAGAAGTTAAAGATCCCAACATAATAGCTAAAGAAACCAAAACAACCACCCCAACTTCATACCAGCGCCGATGAGCAGCCACTGACTTACTCAGTCCTAAACTCACAAAGGTCAGGACAGCATCCCTTGATGGATGCATTTGAATAGGGTAGCCAGCAAATAAAACAGTAGCCATACCTATCTTAGCCAAAGTAACCAGCCAAAAGAACTTTTCACCAATATGCTTCACAATCAACTGATAAAAAGGTTTGTTTTTGTTTTCCAAAACATCTAAGATACTTTCTTTTTGACCGTTACCACCGGCCAAATACCCACCATTAGATACTAAAAAGAAAACAAAAGCAGCTACTCCCACTGCACCAGCTCCTACCTTAGCACCATTACCAACTGTTGGTCTATCAAGTAGGCTAAAAACACGCACCATATTCTGTTGGCAGCCCAAAGCAAAGACGTACTTAGATAAGGCAGCAAAAAGCTTAGAAGGTTCAGTTGTATAAGCCCGTAAAGGAGAATCAGCGGCAGTTTTAGCTACCGGCGGCAACCATAAAGCCAAACCACCACAGACTAAAACCAGTAAAGATAAGTAAAGCACTGAAATAGTGCAAAGTACCGAAGCAAAGTTCAACTTCTTTAAGTCCTTCAAAGTAGCCATAAACCCAGGTATAGCCATTAAACCCGCACTAAAGATCAAATTCATAAGGAGGTTTTGTTCTAAGTACGTATCCCAGCCAAGTAACTTACTAATCCAACTCTTGAGAATCAAAAAGTAGCAGAAGCAGCATCCTAAGCCTTGAATACCAATAAAACCATCAGCTGCGTATCCTAAGACAGGAAAGGCAGTCTTACATACTAAAAAGTAAGAAGGTTCTCTTCCCTTCCCTTCTAATTGCTTGGCACAATGGACTAATTGAAATAGAGTAAAAGCACTAACGGCTGAAATAAAGGCTAACAACGGACCAGACATTAAGTATCCCGAAAGTTCAACGGACTGGGGCAGATTAAGTACTCCTGATCCCATGATGGATCCAACCATAGGAAATATAGCAGAACGGACTGATAATCCTCTCTCTCTTTTCTCCTGCATAAAAGTTTTCGCAATCTGAGCCCCCTATATTTATAGACATTGGGTTAGGAAACATTACCATATATGGTAATATAAAACTTTTATAATCTAAGCTAAATTACCAAAAAAGGAAAATTTAAAATGATCAGCCAAGGTATGATTTTTGATTATTTGAACAGAAAAATAAGTATAATTAAGACAGTCAAGTTTGGGAAGTTAAAACCAATAAATTACATAGTTAAGATAAGTTTGGGTTAGTACTGGGTAGGGTAATGTAATGTAATGATGTAATGTAATGTAATGAATTAAGGTAATGTAATGAATTAAGTTTGGGTAGGGTAGTGTAATGTAATGTAATTTAATGATATAGTGGAAGGTAATGTGATGTAATGATATAGTGTAGTGTAATCTAATGACTTAGTGTAATAACTTAATGTAATCTAATAACTTAGTGTAATGACTTAAGATAGGGTAATTTTATTGACGTATGGTAATTCTATTAAGATATGGTTAAATTAAGTTATTGCTTGAATTGGCTTAGATTGGATAATTACTTAGCCCAATAAATAACTAATTAGTAGTTTAACTAGAATGAACTTAATCTAATAATTCAAATCTAATCACTTCATTTAATAATCTAGATCTAGCCACACACATCAAAACTCAATTAAAACCAACTTAACGCCGTATCTTATTTACTATTGCCCGCCGACAACTGTCATAGAAGACCCCAGGAATAGCCCAAAGCACACCCGGTTCAGCCACAGCCACCACCAAGACAGCCAGAACACTCAATTCCAGCACGACAAAACATATCAAAGCCAAAACAAGCACGCCCACCGACTCAACCATCCCCCGAGTCGCCCCATAATAAACCAACATCACCATTGAAGAAAGCCAAAACGAACATGCCGTCACCACAACATTATCCGTTATACTATAACAAGCCATACTCACCCAAACAATAGCCACCAACAAACCCACCAAACAACCAAAATATCCCCCA